GGATTGAGCTACAAAGCCCATATAACTACATGCACTTTCTATTCATATGTAGATAGCATTAAAATAGTTTATAACTTAAGGGAACCACAACATTATTCGTGGCATTGAATTATGAACTCCATCTATGAACGCATCTAATTCCTGTAAAGAATAGGGTTTTTCTTCCCTGATAAGCAAGGTTTAAAATTACTAAAATATTACTTATTTTTCAATAAGAAGATCTTGCACTACCATTTGTATAGTTTTGAATTCCGCAAATATGACTTGTTCCGAAATTAGTAGAGCTTACTCAATCATTAACTGGATTTTGTGCTTCGCGTTTTTGGGATTATATTTTAATTAATTAGTATGACACATTAGTTAATTAATTGGTTTATACCTCCTCCCTAAGTAGGGCTGGCACCTCCCTATGTAGCAGGCAACTTCAGCAGTCGGCCATCAGTTGGCAACTTAATGCGTTCAGTGAAGGTTATATGCAGTGCTATGTTCTAGCTCCCGCTCGCCTCTCCGGCCGACCACTGCTTCTTTCTCAAACTGATCACTTGTCGTTAGATTAAGAGCTAATTTCCTTAATTTAATTCGTTAGTTAGATGACCTAATAGTTACAAAATAATCAGGAAATTTACTGTTGATATTATGGAGCCTTGGTGAATTATAATCGCTCCCAGATTTTTATTGTTTTTACGGTTTTTATTTGCGGTTTGTGTTGTTGTGAAAATTGCTGAACAATAAAATTCTAATTCTGAAGTTTTAGTTCTTATCGAACTCGCACTGACGAAGCCTTAATAAGAATCTATAGAATCATAGTTCGTAAATCGCCCTTCAAAGAAAATTTCACTTCGTGACAACTGAATAGTTTTAAGAAAATCATGCCTCTGGGTCGTAGTTAATTGAAGATCTTCTTATTAGGTGGATTTCTCACAATGCGCAAGTTCGACGAAATATAAGTTCATTTTGACGCATGTTCGTTGCTTGTAGTTATGACTGGCGTAAATTTCCCAATATTTGTGAGTTCAAAACAAAGTTTATTGAGTTTCTAGGGAACAATGTAACAAATCAAATAATTCAAAATAACCGTTAAGGTTCGCTAAAAAATATTGATGTTATTCAAATACAGTTATATTCAAATTATGTAAATGCAACTTCAAAGTTTTGAGACCCAAACCAGAAACTCGTCGCTGACCGCCTCTGAATTTGCAATAATACTTTATTACATGCAATAGATCGTGAAAAGTTTCCCCATAAATGTGTAATTCTGCAGTACACGTGTCTGTACTTCCGCCTAATGTACGTATAGTGTATGCATAGTGTACACATAGTGTACGCATAGTGTACGCATAGTGTACGCATAGTGTACGTATAATGTACCCATAGTGTACGCATAGTGTACACATAGTGTACGCATAGTGTACACATAGTGTAAGCATAGTGTACGCATAGTGTACACATAGTGTACACATAGTGTAAGCATAGTGTACGCATAGTGTATGCATTGTGTATGCATTGTGTACACATAGTGGACGCATAGTGTACGCATAGTGTACACATAGTGGGCGCATAGTGTACGCATAGTGTACACATAGTGGACGCATAGTGTACGCATAATGTACGTTTAGCACTCAAAGTCTTGCCGATACAAACGCTTGTCGTAAATGCATTCTGCCCAGTGTTATTTTTTTATTCAGATTCCATTACATCTGAACTTTTATCATTTTTTACGCTGGAGAAATTATCCCATGTTAGATGATTGTTGATTACTATAATTCTTATCATGACATATTATAAATATATTACTTCTTTTATTCTTTTTCCTCTTTTTAAAATTATTTTTAAAATTTTTTTAATTAAATAAATAATTAATTAGACCTGCTCTACTATCGCTCCATTGATAATTTTAAATATTTTTATTGTTTTTCATTTCATTTCAGGAAAGTCGAAATCTAATCAATCTAATGCATTCATAATTTTTTAAGATTTGTATTTAACATCAATGATTTTAACCTTATTCTGAGTTACTATTGAAATGATCTTCTAACTTGAAAGGGTCGTCTTGAAATTCCTTTTGTTTTACCATAAAAAAACTACACTATGAGATTATTTGAGAATATCCATGTGCAGTAATATTGCAATAGAAAAAATAAAATTTTAATCGAGGTTAGGAGGCAGCGTAAAGCGCATGTAATGTTCAATGCACGTGCCAAAACTTGGCACAAAGTCTACGTAAATTCTTTGCTATTCTCTAATCGCTGTAAAATATGAGTTCATAAAGTTTTTGATCATTTTCGCCTTAATTCTTGTAAAATAAACTTTTTGTGATCGTGTAATTTTTAATTTTATTTTCTATCAATTTAAATTTTATTACACTCTTCAAAACTATTGCAATGTTCAAACTCGTATGAGTTTTGTAATTTTTATTCTCTTTTCGTTCAAGCTACGTCCTTTAAGCAGTGATTCCCAAAGTGGGCGATATCGCCCCCATAGGGGCGGTGGAAAGATTTTAGGGGGAGGTAAAGAAGAAGAGGGCGGTAGTCTGAAGTCAATGTCAGAAGTTCGAACGTTTGTTTGACGATTTATACACAACACGTGCAGCACATTTCCAATTCAATGATTGTCGAAATAAAAAAACTAGTATCCTTAGTGTCCTTAGTATCCTTAGTATCCTTAGTATTTGTTTGGGACATAGCAGTCCCAGGCCAGCGTCACGTCATGTAGCAAGCTGTAATGTGGTCCGGCTTTGACTAGCGTTGTCAGTCTCTATGCAATAGCCAGTACGAATGGGCCTGACCTCTGCTGTGCTATGATGTAAGTGCAACGTTCCTTACCTTTACGAAACTTACTTGTTAACTGTTAGTTAGTTAGTTAGTTAGTTTAGTGGTCAAATGTTTACTAGCGCTTCAGCTATTTAGCTATCTCGCACCGAAAGTCAAGATGAACATCACCATAGAGGTGGAAGGTCTCAATTATTCATCACCCACAAGGGGCGGAAGGTCTCAATTGTCCAGCCCGCTGAAGCTGGCTCGAAAGAAGCAGCGTTAGCATCTTAAAGAGACGAAATGGCAAGGAAGGACAGGTGAAAAGCAACAGAAACGAAGACACTCGAACAAGAGGTCGCTTACACGGGACGTCGTCCGCCCGCACGAGAGAGACAGAGAAGGGAAATGTAAGGAATCCTACATACATAATAACTTAACCCCACAACTGAGACCTGCAGTCAGACACCGCGAGCTCAGCGGTGGGGCGCTCAGGAACAATCCCCCTAGGAACGCGAAATCCCATAGGACTTCTGACGAGCACAGACACCCGTCAGAAGTCCCCCCTGAGGGGTTGTTAACTGTTATATATTTCCTCTGTTACTGTTATGTTATATTGTTCCGTGTTGCTTTTATAAGTATTTTATATTGGTTGTTATGTTTCCAGGTAACGGGGAATCGTTCAGTAAAGCTTGGATTATCGCCCAAGTTTATTCGATCCTTGATTCCTTAACAATGATCAAGGAATATCTCTGGAACTAATGAACTTAACTCGATGAAACTTGGTACACGTATTCATTAGGACCTAACGATAAGATTTTGCTCGTGAAAATTGTTTGAATTTTGCCGTCGTTTGTTTTTGCCATTGATATATGGCAATACGGGCCGAAATTCACTGTGATTTCTAGTGAAGTAATTTCTTCCAAACTACTGAACAGATTCGAACGAAATTTTGAATTTACAGTCCTAACTAGCGAACGGTAATGTTTAGCTCGTGAAATTTTTTTCGATTATGCCTTCGTTCGCGGTTTTTTTTATTTTACCTTCATTCGTGATACAAACAGCAATACGTGCTTAAATTCGCAGTAATCAAAAAAAATTTTCTAAACTTCTGAACACATTTGAACGAAACTTAGTATTTAAATACCTAACCTCAGCAACGGTGATGTTTACAATTTTTTTCGTTTACCTTCGTTTGCGAGTTATACGGCTATACGTATAAGGCTCATGGTAAACCGGCCGGTAGAAAATCCGGTCGTTCCTCCTATATCTGTATAACTCGCGAACGAAAGCAAAATAGAAAAATTGTCACGAGCTAAACATCTTCGTTGAGAGGTTAGGTATTTATATACAAAGTTTCCTTGAAGTCTGTTCTCGAGTTTAGAAGAAATTTCTTGATCGCCGCGAATTGAAGTGACAAATTACCCGGCGATACGGGCCGAATATAAGAAAATGTGAAATCAAGAATGACGGTGAAATGAAAAAAACTCGCAAACGAAGGTAAAATCGGAAAATCTTTATAAGCTAACAAAATCATTGTTTGGTAGTTAGAAATGTATATTTAAAATTTTATTCAAATCAGTTCAATAGTTTTCAATAATTCTTTGATCACTGCGAATTTCGGCCTGTTTCGCAATGTACGCGCAACTCACGAATGAAGGTAAAATTAAAAAAAAAAAAAAAAAATTACGAGCTAAACATCACAGTTAGGTTCTGATGAATACGCGTTCCAAGTTTCATAGAGCTGCGTTCATTAGTTTGGGAGATATTACTTGATAATTGAATTTGGAGATTGGTCGTGAGACCGGCCACGAGTCCGGCCGTAAATTCACCAGAGACGTCCTATAGGTTTCTAGTGCTGAAACAGTTAAAACAGCCGAAAATCATATTGGTTCACTAAATGGGTTCTTTTTGTGAAATACACATTTGTGTTTAACCTTTATCTTTTGAAATTGCAGCGTACTAAATTTCAGGAAAGAGGCGTATGTCTGTTGGGGGCGCTAGAAATTCACTAGGGAGCCAGAGGGGGCGCCAGCCTGAAAAAGTTTTTTGAACCACTGCTTTAAAGCTAGTGAAGGTTCCACCGAGTTACTTACCATAAAACAGACAAGCCAAATTTCGTTAGATATATGATGTTCTAATGACAAATTTCTTTTGATGCCGTATTAGTAAGAAGACTCACAGTCTGTCCTTTCCTTTCCGAATTTTTTTTTTTTCAGAAATTTAGGATACACACAATCCTAGCAAAATTTGAATTGTGCGTTTAAGATAATTTATTTCTGCTGAAACTATACTCAATAAATACTTCTGATAAACGAATGTTTTCAACTTTAATATATCAATTCAGGAATTCAAATATTAGAATTACTCTTATAATTTGTTACTCTGAAGTATTCCTTCATTTATTTGCCGCAGCCCTATGAATAATCTTCCCGCCGCCACCTCTATTCGAAAAAATGGTATGACTACTAAATTTCATATTATCATCGGGAATGATAATTTGGATTTTTAATCGTTTCATATAATATGATAATATATTTTACTAATATTTCCATGATTATACCTACTAATATAATATAATAGCAATTCATGTTTCAAAAATAACAATCATATTCATGTGATATGAATATGAATTTTACTTTTATTCGATTATCTTTCTCGATAATATATCCTTATTGGATGAGTAAAATAAATTTACCATAACATACAAATTTTTTTGTTGTAAATCTTTATTTCCCCCAAAAAATTGTATTTTCCTATCAATTTCTATTTTTATTTTCTAAAATTTATTCTAATACCACTTAAGAATAATCAAAAACGGTTTTAAATATCAGCCAATTATTTTTATTCATGGAATAACTTTTAACAAGAAAATTCAACACATACCTATTTATAACCTAATTCTATCCTTGGTCTCGATTTCTTTAATGTAGTTTACTCGAATTCTAATTTAATTAATACTTTCAGTTATTCATTTCGTCACTAAACTATTTTCTCTTCCAGAAAATAATTAATATGCATTAATAAAATCATTAATATGTATTCACAAAAGTAATTTACTCGAATTGTAATCTGGTTATAACTACTACTTTCTGTTATTCATTTCGCCACTAAACGATTTTCCTTTAAATAAAATCATTTATATGCATATTTATTGACAAAAATTTTTTTTGCTTCAAGCCTGGCTGACATGGCCGGTCGACAGCCGCTGCGTGGCGCATCGATGAGTTTACTGAAGGCGCTGCTGGTCCTAGTCGTCATAACGTGCCCTGTATCCTGCAGTCCTAAGATACCTGCCAGGATCTCTTACAAAAACATTCACAAGAACCTCATACGACTACCAGTTAACTACAAGAACACTTTAACATCAGAAACCCAATTGAAAAAAATAAATATGTTCGATAAACCAAACAGAAATAGTTTAAAAAGTTCTACCAATGCGGGTTTATATCTCTTTGATGAGAAATTTGCCCGAGAATTCCAAAATCAAAATAATTTACAAAGAAATTACCATGAACATGAACTGCCATGGCAAAACCAAATGTCAAATTTAAACCCAAAAAACGGATTAATTCATCAATCTAATCACAATCAGGGTTATCCCCGGAATACATTTGACCCCACCTCTAATTCCCACCATAATAATTTAGCTCCATACCCTAATCGTTTACCGTTCCCAGAAAATAACCACGGAATACCTCCTTCCATCAATAATATTCAAGGAATGTCAAATCACGAAGATCAAGAAAAATCCCAACCGAGAGAAAATCAAGACCTAGTCGAGGGATTTCCTAGTCGTAACACACGCCTTCTATCAAGTCCAAACTTTCCACACTCTTATATCGCAAAGCTCGCGAGGGAAAACTCTTACAATTCCAACAAACGGGTCACGCTGACAGTGGAATGCAGTTTCATACTGCGGCAATTCATGTGTAGGATGAACGGTAAGTTTGAGTTTGTTAATCATGACTGGAAATTGATAAATGGTGGCATTTTATGATGACAGTGATGACCTGTAACAGCGATGATGGTTTCTGTGACAGTGTAGGTTTTTGTGACAGTGATGGTTTCTGTGACAGTGAAGGTTTTTGTGACAGTGATGGTTTCTGTGACAGTGAAGGTTTTTGTGATAGTGATGGTTTCTGTGACAGTGATGGTTTCTGTGACAGTGATGGTTTCTGTGACAGTGATGGTTTCTGTGACAGTGATGGTTTCTGTGACAGTGAAGGTTTCTGTGACAGTGAAGGTTTCTGTGACAGTGATGGTTTCTGTGACAGTGAAGGTTTCTGTGACAGTGATGGTTTCTGTGACAGTGATGGTTTCTGTGACAGTGAAGGTTTCTGTAACAGTGAAGGTTTCTGTGACAGTGATGGTTTCTGTGACAGAGATGGTTTCTGTGACAGTGAAGGTTTCTGATACAGTGATGGTTTTATGGCTGAACTGAATGTGAAGTTTCTATGTTTCATGTGATATTGAAGATTTCATGTTTCAAGTGATAGTGAATAGTGATGACATAACTTTTCAAGCGATAGTGATGATTTTTTCCTGGGCCATAGCCTATTTTCTTCTATACTTAATGTTAATTTAAATAATTATTTGTACAAACCGTTATTCATGGTACCACATTTCAGTTGCACGTAATTAAACTGCGTGAGTTTTGTCAACATAAATCAACAATGAACTATTACCAACAGTAATTCATCAGCGTTTTACAGCATTCAGCTACACAAATTAACAACAATCTTATAACAACCTAAATATCTCAATGTTGCACTGGTTTTCAGCAACATAGCTCAACAAAAGTCATTGCAACGGCTTAGTTGCAACGGCTTAGATTCATAAATGATTATTAGTATTGAAGCCGCGACACTCTAATACAGTTTAGTATAGTTAAGTATCTTCGGCATTGAAGAATAGGCCTGGATAGGCCTGTCGCCAATTCTTGCACTTTTCTTGACTATACTGGCCTTTTGATCAGATCCTTCCAACGGACGGTAGATTTAAAATCGCTTCTAGATTTCAGTTGTTCCATAAGATACGAGGCATTTCAAGACTAAACATATGCCCCTGCATGGCCTTGTCTAGTCTGTTTTTGAACGCGTTAATACTCGTAGACCCAACAATATCTTCATAATACAATTCTCAAGCATTTTCACAATTTGCAGTTAACATCATATTGCATATTATTATTAATAATTTTTTTCGTGCACTCGCAGCATTCGTCCGCACATAAGTTCCTTTTTAGCGACTGTACACAAATCATTTTCTTTTATTATGATATATATTTTAGTCTTCATGAATATTTCACATTTTCTTCGATCCCAGCTACAACTGTAGAAAACGATTGCGTGGACTGCACTATAGACGACTTCATGCAGCTCATTTGTCCCTCTATTTACAATGCGAAAAACATCACATCCAGCCACTCCCAAGAGGAATTCGGAATGCCTGCCGACGCCAGAGATGCATGTTCGAAGCAAGTATTCATTCATTGATTAATTCAGGATCTAAGATTACCTGAGAATATTTTTTATCGTATCAATACCTACAGGTTTGAATCCAGTCCATATTCTGCCAGATGTAATTCTGTCCTGTATTCTTTCTTTTCTATTCATTATAAATTAATTTCTGACTTCTTTTATTTTTCGATATAAACTGCACTCCTAAATGATTTTAAATACAACCCTCACTGATTCATGTTCCTCTTATCTCCAATTTTAAATAGACCCATTTTTTGTCGCGCAAAAGAAATCATTTTTTTTTATCATATCTAAAATATTAGGATATTATTGTACTTGCATATATTGTAATATGACATCTTGTGTTGTAACATTAATTCTGAAACAGAAACGAACAATTGAGATCTGTTACAAGTTCTCTACTGTAAGCCATGAACAAAACAAGCTTTATTTTTGCGGCTTACGTGAAAATGATTACTAATAAAGATAATGCATTCGCATCATTATTATATTTTCATGATGGAAAGACAACATAGTTTTTCGGTTATTATTTTTCATCCACTTGACCGAATAATAAATATATTAATAAGAAAAGTACTTTTTTAGTTCCAAACATTTGGACATTTTGTCAACAGATGCTACGAAGGGAATTGAATTTTAAGACTAATTATTATATCAATAAGAAAAGTACTTTTCTAGTTCCTAATATATGAATATTTATCAACAGGTACTACGAAGCGAATTGAATTGTAAGAATAGTTATTATATTAATAAGAAAAGTACTTTTCTAGTTCCTAATATTTCGATATTTGTCAACAGATGCTACGAAGGGAATTGAATTGTAAGAATAATTATTATATTAATAAGAAAAGTACTTTTTTAGTTCCTAATATTTGTATATTTATCATCACCTTATCAGATACTACGAAGCTTATTGAATTGCAGGAATAATTATTATATTAAAAAGAAAAGTACTTTTTTAGTTCCTAATATTTGGATATTTGTCAACAGGTACTACGAAGCAAATAACTTCAGTCTCAGTATGTTGAACCTGTCCGTCTGGGAAACACCGCACTGCCAGCAACCTATTTCAACCATATGCCCCAGCCTCTCCAAACACATAACCAACATAACGCATCATGTGAGAACAATTTGCATTCTTTAGCTAATTTAAATGCAGGCCAAGTTTTTGATTTATTTGTTGAATTTTTTTGTTGTTGCTTGCATTTTATTCATAGGGTTTCTGGAGATCATGTGACATGTCGCAATTTACATGGTTGTACTTATTTAGTCATTTTATTTATTGATTCCATATTAAAATATGGCCAAAAATGTTCAATTATTCGGAATTTTATAAAATTTTCAAAGATATTCAAATCTATTATTTATTATTATTATTTTTAATTGTGAGTTTTCCAGGATGGTATGACTCGTAGCTAACAACTTGGAACTTTTATAATTTTTCTTTTAAAGAGCAATCGTACAATAATTTTTAGAGCATGTTTCATCCTAATTATTAATTTTATTTGCATTTTTTCGTTCTTAATACCGTATAAACGAAATTTGAAGCTACCTACCGTCCGTTGGAAAGATTTGATCAAAAGGCCAGTCTAGTCAAGAAAAGCACAAGAATCGGCGACAGGCCTATCCAGGCCTATTTTTCAATGCCGAATATATTATACTATACTATACTATACTATACTATACTATACTATACTATACTATACTATACTATACTATACTATACTATACTATACTATACTATACTAATCAGAAGCTGCCGCGTCTGTAAATTTTCACTGGGTAACAAAATTTAGAGTCGCCCCAGCGTTTGATAATCCAAATCAGAAGCTGTCGCGTCTGTAAATTTTCACTGGGCTGTAGTCCATTTTTTTAATTTTCTTAGCTTGGCTGCGACGTTCTAGAAGCTGGCAAGACAAGTTCCTCCAGAGCGGCCTGCATGCCACTACCCTCACATGCCTTCTCTTTCCCTCTCGCTTCGCTGCTCTTCTATACACTTCACATCGAATTTCAGTTGATTCAGTTATAGATATTTTTCTACCTTGTATCGACTACAGGCCACTTAACCTCGCGACACCTAAAGACACCTAAATTCAAATTCTTTTTGTTTTGAAATCAATGCTACGAGTCCAACACATTGATATAGTATCTATTTCGATTCTATATACATATTTATCTGATTCGTTAATGCTAATAATTTTTATCGCACAGCGCTGCTATATAATTATTGTTTCGTTTAATTGCTAACTAACTCGCCACATAATACAATAATTTTCCCATAGTAATTCGAGTAATTCCCATAGTAATAGTAATACGACTGTCATATCATTGATTTGCGGGTTTCATTGTAAGAATCCTATCAAAGTCATGAAACACGCGCGTATAAATGTACCGAATATTAAAACTTGCTGAGTCACTGCCTGCCAAACACAGCATGCACGCTACAACACCTCTGATTTACTCTCATATATTCTTGGGTAAGTTATCCGCGAGTGCATTATTTTCCTGCCCACTGAGAAGCATCTTGCATTAAAATATCTGTTGTGAATTTCTAAAGTGAAAATTTTAAGAAATTACTTATGTCTCTTTAGATTTTCCGTTTCCGCCCTCCTCTTCTCTTGACTGCCAATTTCCCAATTTAATCCTTTGTAAAATTCTGAAGTACTTCTTGGCGTTCCAGATTACCACAGAGAATGTGAAGCCCTCGACAAACTTTAAACAAGTGAGTGAATTAAAGTGTAATTCGTGACTTATTGTAAATTTCTATCGTGGAATATATAATAATTTTTTGATTATTCAAGCAGTGGTTGACATTACCTGACTATGTAAGTTTATAAGCATTGTTGTAACAAAGATAACGTCTGAATAAAGGAAAAAAATATATGGTAATCACTGCAGTGAGTGACAGAGAGCACATTTTCTCGTCCGTCCGTGAAGTCACGGACAGACGGACGGACGGACATGACGAGCACAGTTAATAGCGCCTCTTTTTCCATAAATGAGAAAATGCCCTAAAAAGTTGACCCTTACACGAAGTTTTTTTTTCAGATCAACAGAAATATTCGCCATAGACTTCAGTTGCGTCGTATGGAGCTTCTCTTGAAAAATCGACTCCCGGTGAGGAATTTCTCTCATCATTTCATGTACTTCAACGCTTACTAACTATTTGATTATGTTCTTAATTAGATCTGACACGATAGCAGTTTCCTCTCCCCCAGTCAATTTCTCCTTAAATTAAACTTCATTACTCATTGGATTAGAAATATAATGGTTTCTGTTCGGTCTGAACCTCATCATATCAACTTTAATTGTTCATATCAAATAATGGTTCGTCTGTGGAACTTTTTTTTTTTAGAAAAATTCAAGGTCCGACAAATCCAATGGGTTCTCAAGAACTTCGACTTGATAATGTGCTATAATATTTGTTCGACTTAGTTTTAAAGTTTTAATCAATTCTAGTTATTTGACATTACAGTAATCCCTCGCTATGTAACGCTTCATCTAGCTACCGCTGCTCCACTCCATCGTGAGTTGTTAAGAAATATTATTGAAAATAATCATTTAAGGATTTTCGCTGGTTCGCGGGTTTCTAAAGAATTCGATCAGATTAAAAAAAACACGCGGAACTCGATTGAAAGTAAGAGTGTGGGAAGGTTTGTAAACACTAAAAACAATGGAAACTTACCAAACAATTGCGATATCATTCGATCGATTCCCAATTGTATATTTCCCTTATCGCGGCTACATCTGGATCGGAACACCCTCCATAGGTGACGGATTACTGTAATTGAAAACGAGTTCACTAGAATGAATCAAGTAAATTACATCACAACATGATTGGTCTAACGTACTCGTTTTTTCCAGAATCAGCATCGCATTCATCACAGTTCAGAGGGATATATAAGCGATCAGGATTCGATTATAACTTGAGCATTTGCCCAACTTGGCCCTAAACATTTGCCAGCGCTAATACGAACCAGAAACAAAAAATGTAAGGTCCTAGTCAACATTTCAACTTGTTAACACAACACTATTAAAGGTCTTATCATATATCCATTCGTAAATACTTAAGAATTATCCGACCAATCGTGTCGGAAAAAATCACAATTTGCCTACCTAAAAATAAAATAGGAATATTTTAAACCACTAAAGAGCTGAAACGTCAATAAAATCATTTCCCTGGATTTTAGTTGAATTTTCTTATGTAAATTATAAGCTCTGAATATCTTCAGGGTAAGCGTGCATGCTCTTAACACGGCCACTGTACGAAGATAAATGAAGTGTCTAAATTCATTCAATTGTTGTTCGAAAATTACTACGAATGCAAGTTTGATGCGCTATATAAACGTTTATTGTAATGATGCTCACGAACTTAGGCTTATTGTAATAATGCACACAAATGTAAGCGTATTGTAATAGTGCCCATGAGGCTAGGCTTATTGTAATGATGCTCACGAGCTTAAGCTTATTAAAACAATGTACGTGCATAAATATTGTAAAATGTCAGTAATGCACGTTGCTGCACTTATCGTACGAATGCACTCTAATTGTTTAGATACACAAACGGTTTTTGAACAATAATTTGGAGATACTTCTTATGAATGAATAATTAAAATGACTGACACTTTTTAGTTTCACCAGCAAAGACCTTAATTTTTTCCTGACAAAACATAACACCTATACATACAATATACAACATACATACAATACCGTATAATATAACTTACAATTTCGTATAACACGTGTGTGTGCATTCAATAACACGGCTTTTACTGCGCCGTGATTATTAGTATGAGTTACAACGTTTGTGATTATTATATTTAAAATGCTTTATGTTGCACAAATTTTTGTAAATCTCAAGTAACTTTGTTACTATTTTAGGTAACAAATAATTAGCAAAAATATAAAAATGTACATGATATGTTATACCTATATTATTTGTGATAATTCTAGACTGCTAACTTTCCTGTTAATATTCACTGACTTTATATCTCGACTGTGTTGATGGTGACAAAATCTGCTATGCCGTATCATTATTATTTCGATTACGTATTGTCAATGACTGTTATCCAGTAATTATATTCAATTAATTAACGTAGTTAACGAAAGACTTTCTACTTGGATGATGCGAGGCTTTTGTGTTATTAAATAGCATTAAGTGTATACTCGATAAAATCATTGCCACGTAAAAGAAGGGCAGAACATTGGAATTCTAGCTTGTACTGGTATTTTAAGTACATCGTACTACTTAATGACGAATTGTACTTCGACATTGATAGCACTACTTAGCACAATGTTAATAACCGTGGCTTACATTCCGTCACCCTTGTCAAAGTGGTCGATGAGAGAAGTAAGGAAGAAAAGAGAAGTAAATCTCTTAGGTAATTAGGACAGAGAACACATCAAAGTGGGTTTGTTTATGTTGGTGGACGCAGTGTCATTAACTTTACTTTGAAAAGAAAGTCCAGTCCAATTCTATGGAAAGGACTATATGGTTATGGTCACGTCTTTGTGCGTCAAGCTACGATTATTTCGTCACGGTCAGCATTATAAGTCACACGACTGCAGCCACCGCAAATTATTGTAATTTGTACCGATTATTTGTCATTATTCAAATTGTACCGATAGCAAGAAATGTAACCCGCAACTCACTGCTCCAATCTTGTTAGTCATAACCGCCAGGCCAACTCGCCGGTTCCGAACAGAAATACTACAGTTAGTTGCGGTTGTCAAACCCACAACTCACTGCTTGTTTCTATATTCTGCTCACTGCTTGTCTGCGACTATATATACGTGGAATCGATCAACGTACAGTAGACCACGGTTAATGTCCGTATTTTTTTCGTTAAATATTGCTTTTAAGTATCAGTCGAGATATGAATTTCTAAATAATGTTTGACTCATCTCTTCAGCTAGTGTCTGAAGAATGCTGCGCCATTATTGCCTATTGCCAGTAAAAGCTAGAACTTAGCGGTACATTTCGCTACCCTTCTTTTCAAAAGACATCTAATTATATAGAATTCATCTAAGATAGTTGAATGAACAAGAAGAACCGACCGACGAGGAAAACCCCTTCGGTCCTCATCGGATTCTGAGATGACTGTCCGTTGTTCATTAATGGTAAAAAATATCAATTTAAAACAAGCATTAATTGCTTGAATGATAGGAAGAAAGGTCGCTAAAATTCACGTAAAACCATTCTGATGATTTACATAAATATGGTTGCGCTGTAGCGAGTTACTTTACCAAAAGCAAGTTACAATAATGATACAAGTAGCAATAAAATTCGTTTTAGTAACTGTAGCATGCAATGTTCTGGTTAAGTGCATTGTTACGAATTGAGTAATATTGACTTAAATTTAAATATTTATGTTAGTAGCAGGATAAAAATAATGATTTTATTCAACATAATTCGTTTATGAAACAAATCAACAATATAACTAATTCTTATGTACTCGCATCCTTGTCATTTGAAAATAAATAAAGAAATTGTGATATGTACGTATATGAAATAATGCCGGTAAATTAAACTGATAATTTATATTCTTAAAATTCCACTTTATGTTTATTTGTGAAACACTCACTTTTGCGAAACTCTGCCCGTGGATGGCGTAGAATGCGTAGCTCTGTGGCGTAGAATGCGTAGCTGTATGGCGTAGAATGCGTAGCTGTATGGCATAGAATGCGTAGCTGTGTGGCGTAGAATGCGTAGCTGTATGACGTAGAATGCGTAGCTGTATGGCATAGAATGCGTAGCTGTTTGGCGTAGAATGCGTAGCTGCATGGCGTAGAATGCGTAGCTGTATGGCGTAGAATGCTTAGCTGTATCTAAACGAGTGCTTTCAAGATTCATTCCAATTGATAAGGTAACATTATGATATATTCTAAGATATTGTTTATTTATGAATTTTGCTAGATACTAGCATTGTTTTTTCAAGAAACTACGCCCATTATATGTCGTAATATTTGTTCAAAAGTAATTTTCTTCCATGCACACAAACCAATAGCATATTTTCAAAATGTATCTGTAAATTTTTGTCAGTCTTTTCACATTTCTGATTGCTAAATTATACTTATTTTCGGATGATGATAGGCCATGTTATATCTACAATTTTGCTTATGTTCATTTTTTGCCGTAAATAAATTTGATGGGGATTCACTGAGATATTTTTTCTTGAATGAGTGTGATAAGAATATAGAAAATTGATAATGTAATAGTGTGTTTATATTGTTTACGTTTAAACGATTTCCTTCTCGCTGGCACATTTTCCTTGAGCACTTTGTACATATATATAGCTATTGAAAATGTACGTCACAGCATTTTGATTTGAACCACTTATATTACTGTGTATTTTATTCAGAAATAAGTTAGTTGATGTCATCAAAAGAATAAGAGTTAGCCCATTTATAGACTAACTTATGATTATGATGGAAGTAAGGTTAGAGTTAGGCCTTGTCGCCCCTGAAGCTGAGTAATTATAGCTTGTTTCTTGATTATATGTCCTTTTTTCAGTGTTTCCAGTTGTAATAGGTCCCATTATCACAGAATTTTTGGAAGAAATAAAACCTTTTATACCGTACCTTCGGTGTCGCGAATTCCGTGTCGTCATTTCAAAGCAAAATTCCTTTAAGTTGCACTGCATGCGCAGATCTTCCTTGTAACCATCGATCATCACTTCTTTGTAACCATCATCACTTCTTTGTAATCATCATCACTTCTTTGTAATCATCATCACTTCTTTGTAATCATCATCACTTCTTTGTAACCATCATCACTTCTTTCTAATCATAATCACATCTTTGTAACCATCATCATTACCATGTAACCATCATCACTTCATTGTAACCATCATCACTTCTTTGCAATCATCATCATCACTTCTTTGTAACCATCATCATTTCTATGTAACCATCGCTCTACGCACATTAATAAATAAATACTTCTAATCACTTAAGGATCCATCGCCATATCCTATTTGCTTTCCTTAACCCGAAAAAATATTTTTAATTTTTTGTGGGAAAATAAAAAATAATTCACACAATTGTTGGAAGCGTTCATTTATCCTTTGTAAAATTAGGTACACAGATACATCGGTTCAGTAAGCACGAATTTCTCAAATTACGGAAAATTATCATGAATCATTTCCAGATCCAAGAAAACACAGAAAGCAAAACATGAAGAATATGATTAGAATTTATGTGAGTCCCAAACGGCAGACAGAAAATGCTCTGTCAATGTGAATGGTATTTTGATACATCCGTCTCAAAGTCACACAAAACACCCTGGCACATTCTATACGTTGTTTACGAAGTAAATATGTTGTGTACATGAGCGATTTTGAACAAATAAACATAGTAGTCATTATGAATTATGAAGCTACCATGTTAAATACGTTATATTTATTGTAAATGGATTCAGAAAAAAATCTTCATATGCCGACGTGCGTAATTGGGTGTACATAGTTATCACAAAAACGGTTTTTTTCTTCTTGCACGTACAAATTATTTGACTCTAGAAAACGGTCAATATCTTCCCAACGAGGCTCGAATCACGACGAATAGTGAATATAGCATTCAAGAACAAAACAGCATAATGAATCGTTATCTCAATTATACAGCGGCGAATCAATGTAGGCCACTGAAGCTTCGTCTATAATTCCTCTATTCCTCTATAATTCGTCTATAATTCCTCTAAACTGAATTTACACTCGCCATGTGTACAGAATATTTTCAGCAGGGCGCAAAACGAATAGAATCACTCAGTGAACCCGTTCAATTTACATGTTTGCTCCAGGAAATCTAAGGAGAGAACTTTCATCTTGCCATGAAGTCGAGATTCAAAGGAACAGTGAACACAATTCACATCTTCGATGGTTATGAATAAAAGTTCACTCTCGTTTTTTTTTTTAATTTCCACAAATTTTTAGTTACCGGCGGCTAAACTCGTACTTCAACCCCCAGCCGAAGAAAGATTTGCCATACCGGTTAAGATGTTCGTACCCCATAAGATCTTTATTTTCTTTCCCTATTAATGGACACAAGAAATAACATTCAAATTTGCTTCTCTACAAGCCCCGTACAAACAAGTCTACCAGTCGTACTTCGTGTCTTCGAGGATAAAAAAGTTGCAGCAAAGATTACATAAAAAACATCCCAATTAATTCCAATGCAACTTTTCATTTCCTAAAAAATATATCGTAATATTCGATCCCAACAAAACTGATTTCGCGACGCATGATCGTGATGGTATATAAATAAAAAAATGGCAGGATAGCATTTACGTTAGATTTGACGTTTTCCAAATACTGTTGAGTTGGGAGATTTAAATTTAGCTCTCAACATTAACTTATTTATTAAATGAAAAACTAATTCCCATCGTATCTAAGTTCATGATATGACTATTGTAGAACTTAGAACAAAATACATTCAAAACAATTGAAAATTTGTCGTAAAAATTTCGCCTGATTTGAATAACTGGATGTGCTCGCCGCTATACTCTGCCGTACTCCCGGCAACGTCTACCTAATCCAAGACCTCGTATACTCGGTCCAAGACCTCGTCTACTAGGTCCAAGACCTCGTCTACTCCGTCCAAGACCTCGTCTACTCGGTCCAAGACCTCGTCTACTAGGTCCAAGACCTCGTCTATTAGGTCCAAGA